TCATGTTAATATTGACCCCACCACTTCATCAAAGGCCTATATGTTCTTATTTACAGCTTCTGTAATGTAACTTGTGTTTTTTTAAACATATTTACAAACAATTTAAAATTTAATTCTAATTTAAAAATTAAAAGTTAAATTAGCTTAAAAGGCCAAATATAAAAAGTTATTGCAACTTAGATTATAAAGTTAATAAAATGTTAATATCAATAGGCAATTGATCTCCTTTTATTATTTGTGAATTATGTTTTACAGTTTAAAAGTAAATAAAACCACACATATACTTTTAATATGCAATGTTATCAAAAATATTTTTTATAGACATATTATGTATTTACATGTCCTTCATTTAAACTGAATTAAATACTTGTAACAAAGATACATGTATTAGGAAAAATTATCGTTAGACAATCATCAAATTTTAATATTCACATACAATTGAAAATAAGTGCAAGGTAAAGAGAATTTGATATACGTTTGTTTATGTTGGATTTCTATGCAATTTGTAGGAAGATACAAATTAATCATGTAATTTATCACTTACAAAAATAGAACTTCTTTCAAATCAATAATGTATATGAATTTAAAAGACACATAAGTTAAAATATAAATACATAGCAGTGTTGCATAGATTAATATCACTTCAATTAAAGTCTGTGTTAAATTAATTATCATCAAATAGATGAGAAAAATATATGTATTTTTAAGTACTCATTTCTCATCATCAAATAGATGAGAAAAATATATGTATTTTTGTTAAACGCACCTAATCTTCACTATATGAGCTCATCATCCATGGCAGATCACATGTGTGTTTAGAGAGAAAAAGAAGAAAGAGAAGAGTTCTTCATTGATTCAAAGCTTGAAGAAGAAGAAGCAGAATACAAAGGACTAACTAATATGGTTTCTTATACTAATTAACTAACAACCTTCTAACAACTTTCTAACTAACTTTAATTAACTTTATACACATCATTAAGTAATTCCTATCTCATTATCCCCCCTCAAGCTTGTGGGTGCAAAGACATTCAACACACCAAGCTTGCTTATCAAATGTTCATGTTGAGCTCTAGGTAATCCTTTTGTCAATATGTCTGCCAGCTGCTCCTTGGAACTTATATATTCTGTTCTGATCAGTCCTGTTTGTATTTTTTGCCTGATAAAATGGCAATCGATTTCTATGTGCTTAGTTCTCTCGTGAAACACTGGATTGACTGCTATTTGCAAGGCTGCCTTACTGTCGCTGGATACTATAGCTGGTTGCTCAACTTCACTTCCCAATTCTTTCAGCAAAGCATCAATCCATACTAACTCTGAAACTTCATTAGCCATACTTCTGTATTCAGCTTCAGCTGAGCTCCTCGAAACTACATTTTGCTTCTTAGATTTCCATGACAATAATGTTTCACCATGTTTAACTAGAAAACCTGATACTGATCTCCTTGTATTTGGGCATGCTGCCCAATCTGCATCACAATACACATTCAATTTGTTTGATCTTTTGCTGCTCAGTATTACTCCAAGTCCTGGCTCCCTCTTGATATATTTCATTACTCTCACAGCTGCTTCCCAGTGTGATCTCTTGGGTTGGAGTAAAAATTGACTAAATGTTTGAACAGAATAAGCTATGTTTGGCCTTGTCATAGTCAAATATAACATCTTCCCTATCAATCTTTGATACTGTTCCTTGTCTTCAAATAGCTCATCATCTACTTCTCCAGTTAGATGATCTAATTCTTGGATTGTTAGTCTAACATTGGCTTCAAGAGGTGTCCAAGCTGGTTTAGCATTTCCTAAACCCAAATCTGAAATAATTTCCAAGGCATACTTCATTTGATTCATCAAAATGCCTTTTGCTGATCTACTGAATTCCATTCCCAAAAAGAATTTCAAATCTCCAAGATCCTTAATCTTAAAAGCCTTGTGTAGAATGGCTTTTGTGTGCTCTATAAGTCCCAGATTGCTACCTATCACTAACATGTCATCTACATAGACAAGAATCACTACCATGTCTGATCCTTTCCTTTTAATGAATAAGGAATGATCTAGACTACTCTGAACAAAACCAGATTCCAGTAATGCTTCACTTAACTTCAAGTTTCATTGCCTGCTTGCTTGTTTGAGACCATAGAGGGATTTGACAAGTCTGCATGCTAAACCAGATTCCCCCTGACTGTCAAAACCCTCTGGCAACTACATATACACCTCATTATGAAGATCACCTTGTAAGAAAGCATTATAGACATCTAATTGATGAACAAACCAATTATGTTGAGCAGCTAAAGATAAAACAGTCCGGACAGTAGCAATCTTAACCACTGGTGAGAAAGTCTCATGGAAATCAAGCCCCTCTCTTTGTGTGTAACCCTTTGCCACCAATCTTGCTTTAAATCTCTCAACATCACCATTAGCCTTCAACTTGACTTTATAAACCCACTTACAGCCTATAGGAACTTTGCCTGTTGGTAGAGGAACCAAATCCCATGTATGATTATCCTGAAGAGCTTTTATTTCAGATTGCATAGCTTCTAGCCATCTGACATCTAATATAGCTTCCTTGTATGTAGTTGGTTCAGTAACAACAGAAAAAACATGTAAGTATTATTGATAAGTTGGGGATAGATTGGTATATGAAATAGAGGTTGCTATAGGATACAGAACATTATTTGTTGATGGCTTAGAAACATATTCAGATAGCCATAAAGGTTGTTTAGTAATCCTTGTGGATCTTCTGAGAGGCACAACATGAGAAACAATAGGTGAAGATGATGATGGATGTAGTGATTCTGTTGCTGTATACATTGGGGTGATGAATCATGAGATGTTTCTAAATCATCAATTGGACATGAAGAAGACATAGGACAAGATTTAGGTGCAGGTGAATGAGATTGAAAAGGAAATTGATCCTCATGAAATATCACATCTCTGTTCAAAAAGAACTTCTGCTTTTGTAGATCAAAACAAACATATCCCTTTGTGACACTGGAGTAACCCATAAACATTGATCTCACAGCTCTGGGTGTAAACTTATCAATCCTAGGCAATGTGCTTGA